CTCCCCTCCCTCTCCAAACACGGGGTCGGGCCTAGTCATCTCGGCTGCGGCTCACCAACTCTTATTTCACCTCTACGTCCTTAACAGAGCACCGAGCCCCCGCGTCCCCGCGAGCTCCAAGGACAAGCCGGGGGCGGCGAGCTCAGCCCCACGCTCCATGCCCACCCCAGCAGGCACGCGCACAGACCGTTTCCATGGCCCCAGGCGCTGCCCCTGCTATTCCCGCTTCAGCTGCCACCTACGCTCGTGCCAACCAGAGCGCTCCGACGGCTCCGTGGGTTCGGCTCCCTCCCGTGCACGAGCCTTTCCCTGTGCTCGGCGTTGCGTCGAGCAGCGAAGGAGAGGGTAAGGGGGGCACACCGCACCCATCGCCCCAAGACTATCGCATATTGCCTCCCACGCTACAAAAATACACAACTTTGGATGAGTTTGCTAGTTAATGTACATTTACTCCAGCACAGGAATACAAATACCTTTTATTTTAAAAAAGAAAAAAGCTAATAATACAGTAGGCCTGGCCGCGGCCCAGAGGGGTGTCAAACCCACTACCGTGTACTGCAGGAACTAGACACACGGGTGTTTCTAGAAGGAGTTACCGCCGCCCCCAGCGCAGAAGTTACGGTGCGAGTTAAGTTCTATGCTGCGGTTTGCGTCACTTCCACCGGCCGAGAAGACCAGGAACACTGTCATCCAGCAGCTCCCAAACCCAACGGCTGCTTCTTTCTGGGTCGTTTCGATGCAAATCAGCCCAAAAGGCGTACGCAAATCCCTAATATTTACAGTCCAAATACAGCATCACTCTACAATTTTCTTATAAAACAGCAGGTAAGGAGTTGACGTAGACGACGACGTCGGAGACAGAGAATTCAGAAAGTCCTTTTCTTCAGTGACCTTCACCTCAGAATCGTCGAAGAGCAACCACTTCCCCTCGTACTCCCTCAGGCTCTGCAGTACGCACGGAGCTCTGTTCTCTAGTCCGCCGGAAGCGACACCGCTCTGCTCGCCGCCTTCTGCGCTGCACTCCGCGCTTCCGCTGCTGGACTCGGGATTTCTGCTTTCAGGAACGACGTTAAGAAACTTGTCGGGGTTAGCGGGTTTGGTGGCGTACAGGTCACAGTCGGGCTTGCTCTTCTGCCCCCCAAGAAGTCCGACAGCTTCCACGTTCTTCTTGCTCAGGACTTTACCCGGCTGTGCGTTCCCACCGACTCTAAAAGAGACTTCGCCGTCGTCGTAGTCGTCTGCAGCAGCTCTCGCCTCCCCCTCATCCAGCGGTTCCGGCGTAAGCGCCGCGTGTGTTCGGGCGGTGCTGAAGTTCCCCCGCTCTAGCTCCAGGCTGTTCAGGTCGGTCACTTTGACGGAAGCCGTGTAGTGTCCGCTGCTGATGGTGATGCCGCTGTGCATCACCACTGCGAACAGCCCGTAGGTGTCGTTGGTCGGCTTCGTGCTCCACTCTTCCAGCGAGAGCCTGAGGGGCGTCAGTAAGGGCGTGTTTATCTTGGAGAGCCCGCCGTAGCAGTCAAACCTGCAGAGGGAAACTGGAGTCAGACCTCGCTCCACCACAGCTCCCAGTAACTACCCCGGAAGTGGCTCACGCGGCCCTTTCCCCCATTAGCGACACGGGCGGCCCGAAGGCGAGCGCTTGCTCGCTTCTCGTGAGCGCGCCCCAGGCTGCCCGGTCAGGGAAGACCTTGTTAGGAGTGCGCGGCATGTTGAATCTCACAGCCCGAGAGCGACCGACCTTAACCACGTAAGACATTCCCTCTTTCTGAAGTATCAGCTAAAGCTGATTTTCTGCAGAGGCGTTAACCCAGTTGTTATCGCTCCTGCTTCCACGCACAAATACTCCGCTTCTTCCCAGGCGCCACCCTGCGCTCCAGATTACAAAAACCCAAACCCTTCAACATCCAGGGCTGAGGTAAGCAGGGTTGGTGGGGTTTCCCTGCCAGGACTCGTTTACCGATCAAAGGAACACGAACTTCACTTCCGATCGCTTTAATGGCACGCGGAAAAACGGAGCTCCTGCCGTAGGAAGTCATTTTTCTCAGCTGACCTTGGTGCCCTGCCAGCGCTGCAGTTACCTACAGGTGCGCAAGTTACTCACACTTGGGATCCCATGAACTGTCCTGTGTTACTGGGCGTTTTCTAGGCAATGATCTAGGCTGATTTCCTTGGGAAAAACATCCAGTATTTCCTAAGTATTTAGCATTTTGTCCATAGGGCACGAATTTACAGTGAGCATGGTTTAAGTCCCTTCCTACGAGGATCTTCTAAGGAGTCTGAAAGGTGTTGGGACTCCCACATTATCATGTATTCGCCCCCTTGAGTGATTCTGCTCTTACCTGATTTACACACTGCATCAGCCCAAGTTAATTAACCCCTTTATTTAAAGCTATGTGATGATTCGGTCTTGCTCAGCTGTTGGGGTGTGGCAGGGAAAGGTCTGGGGGATACAGGAAGCCTGGGAAGACTCGGGTTCCAGAGCCAACTGCTATTGTTCACCTGTGGTTTATCCCAAGAACAACTCTCTTCAGTCCAAGGCAACTGCAGATACGGCACAACACTAAGCATTGCTGCAGTAACAGGACTGTTGTTTCACTGGGTTTAGTTTTGACTCTGCTGTGCTCCCAGTTCAGTGGTGGTCACAGCCATAAACCCTCAGAAACACAAACAGGTTTCCACGCACACACGGCCTCGGTCACTCAAGTCAAATTAACTGAAATCTCACGTTAGGGCGAGGCTTCCCAGAAACGCTTCACCACACCAGAAGGAACAAAACAGCACGTAATCTGAAATAATAAAACTCAAATCTTCTGAAGATCCCTACTAGCAGTAGCCACAAACACATTCAGTAAGTCGAGAAGCCAACCGCCTGCTGATGCTCCAGACCAGAAACGCAGTTCACACAACGCTCCGACAAGCGTATTGACACAAGACACTGAAACGAGCTCTGCCTGGCTTCCAGCATCAGAGATTTGGAGAGGAGGAAATAAGAGAGGGAATCTTCTCCTGATAGCTTTTTGTTCTTCTCCATGACAAGAACCTGAAGACAGAAAGCGCATGACGAGGCCGCTGCCTCCTCCGACTGACACATGGTTCGCGCAGCAAACTCGACATCTTTCCAGCCCGCAGATCGGGGGAGCTTTCCCCACTGGGCTGCATTAACACCTCTCCTCGTTACAGACCCTTCGCTCCTCGTTACAGACCCTCGAAGACTTGGGCCGCATTACTGCACCGCGTTTAACACTCGGAGTCACATAGTCCGAGTAACGATCCCCAGCGCCATGAGCAGTGCTGTCACCAAGTGGCAAATGTGAAAACAGTCACCTGCTCTTACCTGATACCGTTTCACGAGCCAAATCTAATTTTCTCACTAATTGTTAAACTTTTGTATAGTGGAAAAGCTTCATCAGCCATTACTAACAGCTTCCCAGCCTGAGCACGCGGCCTGGCGTTTTATTCCCCACACACGCACTTGCCAAGGGGAATTAGTTACTCATCCCCAGGCAAGTAGGTTTCCACAACGGCTGTTTGACTTAAAAAAAAAACCAAAACCCCACACTCTGCAAGCCAGCATCTAGAAAAGACGAAGCGAATCCCTACTAACTGCAAATATTTCCATGACCATTCCCTTCTGCTTCACGTATTTCCAACTCAGTAGAGCACAACTGAGCAGCAGACAAGATTTCAAAGTTTTTATTGGCTCTAAGAGAAGTTTCAGGAAGAGTCTTAGTTTAGAAACCCTCGTTTAAGGTCCGCAGAACGGTTTGTTACTGCTTTCAGGGCAGTAACAGTCTCCTCTCCGAGCAGAGCAGTCTATTTTCCAGTCAACAAAGTGGGAGAAGCTCCCTCAGAGCTCAGGAACCAGTGGCAGTGACTGGACACCACGGACTGCACCAGTGCCCTGCCTTAGGAGCCTCGGCTCCTGCTCGCGAGCTGCGCTGCCCTCCTCCAGACCAAGGTGTTCAGAAACGACACAGTTTTGTCCAAGACGCACCACCCCAGCCAAGATCTGGGAAAGGGTCTTCTAAGCGGCTTCATCGCCAACTCCAGTTCTACACCTGACTGTTCACTCCTAACGCCCGTAACCCCTGGCTGCGAGCCGCTGGCAGAAAACGCGCGACGGGTCAGAGGACAGCAACACCACCGAGCGCGGACTCGGGCTGACCCGGATACGGGTGTCAGCGTTGCGGAGCGCGGCGCGGAAGACGGCCAGGACAGAAGAAAAGGTCAGTGACTGGGGAGGAGGCCGATTCACCTGCAAGCTGCGAGTACTGCCCCACAGAACCAGAGGGGAGGAAGCGCAGGAGCAAACAGAAGATTTTCCTTTCAGGTGATGGCTCAGGCTGTGTTTTTTTGTCTAACAGCCTATCATCATCCCAGGATGCCACCTCACATCCAGGGCTGCTCAACAGCAGCATTACGATTTTTAACGGGTGTGCAGCTTGTTCTCTGCCGCCGTGTGACAGTCAGCTATGCAGAACAACGTTCTGTGTGTCAGGACTCTAGACCTGTGCGAAGGGAAGGCAGCAGATGTTACAGAGACAGGGAAGTTTCCCTTCCACGTTGTCAGAAACCTGGATACTCCTAAAAACTAACACTAAAGACAGGCTGAGTGAGAACTGTAGTTTTAGCCAACTACCTGCACAAATATCTTCGTGTAATCTGTCTCCAGGTCTTTTACAACTCCTGCTTACACTGGCCACAGTTACCATCAGCACTTGCTTATAGAGCATCCTCCGACAAGTCCCCCGTCAGCTCACCCGGCCTCCATGCCCTCCCGAAGGTCCGACACACCCCGAGTTCGTAGACGCTGGTGACACGAGCATTATGACCCCAACCCCGTGGCAGACTTCCTGCTGGCAGGGTGGCTCTGGAGGTCTAAAGCCAACCAACGGGGAAACGCAGCGCCCAGGGAAGTCAGTGGATAGAAGGCCAAACTCATCTGTGCCTAAATGACTTCCTCCTGCACATCCCAGAGCAGCTGAGGGTTAAGTCACCTGGTCGCCAGGTTATAAAACGGGGGGCTGCACTGTATTGTCACTCAAAAACGCAATTCATGGCGGAACCATTTTCTAAAGGACCTGGGGGAATACTGCAGTTTTAAGTGGCTCCTGACGAAGCAGCCTGTTATTTTTCCTTATCTGAACCTCAGCGAAGAGCCAGAGCTCACGGCGAAACGCTGCGCGGAACGTGTCGGGGGATTGTTCTGTTTGGGTACAGTGTTGTAGGGACGGGGTGGTTTTGGCTGGTTTTCTCTTTTCCTCCCTTCCCAAAGGAAACCCTAAATTCCTAAGTATGAGAAAAGGTAAAGAACATCTCTTCCAAAAAATAAGGGTTTCCACAGTATGTAACAAACCGATTGCTCATCGGTGACGTTGAGATTACTGTATCTTTGAAGGAATCGATCATTTCTCCTGTACTGGGTGTTACCTCTTTAAAATGCTTCTCTCCTGATTCTTCTTCCCAGACTTTAGAACCCCCGTTTGGTTAAAGCCCAAAGCGCACTACAAGCTGCAGCCATACACCTCAGTGTTGTTCCCATTATTTGTTCTGCAGAACCTGCCTCTGACCTCACAGGGACAAGTGACATCAGTAAAGTTTTCAGAAGCGTCAGCGTATCGGGCTGTTTTACGAACACAGATAAACCAATTCTTGCCAAGTCTCCTGAAAGCATACTTCCCTGGAGGTAGTTTCTGCCGTTCCTTGTAAAACAGAAAACCTTTATGAAATCAGAGGCCACACCCCACCGATTTAAAGTTAATTTCAATCTAGAAATCTGCTTTTGGAAAAGCTACAAGACATTTTCATCTCTCTGGTACGCTTTTCCTTCCAACAGCACAGCGTTTCGTGATAGAGTCAATCTGCATACTCACTCTAGGCCACTAGCAGCAAAGCACTTCAAGTGAATGGTTATAACTTCAGGCATTTTGTCGAATAAAAGGCTGCGCTCTGCTTCTGTGTAGTGGTGGCAGTTTTCACAGAAATATTTATCCTCTCCCACAATCCTTTCCACTGATGCAAACTGTGAGATTGCCCACTTAAGTGTCTTCATTTCCGTTTTCGGCTCTGGGGAAACTGTAAAAGAGAACCACTACGATCAGATATGCTGTTATTTACACTTCCGAGGTGCCCCAACAGCGTAACGACACGACGACGCGTGTCAGGTTTTGGCGTGTTCCAAACCCATCGGCCGCGCTGTGAATACGGATGGAACAGAAGATCTGTCCGAGCCTTTGCATCACCTCAGGAGGCAACGAACAGGAACTATTACTTAAAACCTGTGGTTTTCCCAAAGCCTGGCTTCAGCACGCATGCACAAATTCGGTCGCCACGTCCGGAAATGGGGTGCACGTACCCAAGACCAGAGTGGGGAGGGCAGAAATAGTAAAAGCTGCTCCAAATCAAGTCCATGAGCACTAAAATTAATTTCTTTAAAATTCTGGATTTCAAAACGCATTGTTGCCATGCTTACTTTGGGAAATAGCAAAAAGCTAAGTGAGGATCACGAAAATCTGTGAAGGATGCCAGAGAACTAACGCTTATGCATATAAACCAAATGCTATTTAGGTAATGACAGTCTAAAATAATGAAAAAAATCATTTTTTACAGTCAGTTAAAGAAAAAAAGCTGCTTTTTTCATTTCTTTTGAGAAAAAATGCAGGTATTTCTCATAAAATTAAGAAAAAGCAGAAGAATTTCTTATCCAGGAAGAAAGGGAAGACCCAAATCCAAGAACATACCGATTTGCAAGCTGGAGAACAGGTACATAAGCGAAGGACTGTAAGCAGCCTGTGTTATGTGTTAAGAACTGAAACAATTTTCATGCTGTCTAGGCCTGTCTACATTATCAGCACCCTGTTTCCAAAGTCTAAAGTTAATCAGGACAAGAGATAACGGACCAGCCGCTAACTTCAACCAGCAGGAACGGGAGCAGCGTTCCTAACTACGGGGCCGTCCTTCCTCCAAGGCTGGCTGAAGCACAGACACACAATTCCTCTGCGGGAATTACTTACTTTCAGAACTCTCTTCAGTTTTAGAAAGTTCATCTTCCTGCACTGGAACACTAATGTCCTGGAAATCTTCTCTTCTTTCAGTGAAGCACTCGCACTCCAGGCATCTCGTTCTCAGTACCAACTGGCCCTGGAAGAGTTTCTCCACTAGTTCAAAAACAGCCAGCTCCGTACCTAGAGAAAGTATGTGCCAGATGACTTACCACGATGCACTTTATTCAAGACACTTCAGAACCTGGCTGTTCTTCCAAAATCACTGTTACAGACATGGCCTTTTAGGGATTCCAGACAGGAATAGAAAAACCCAAAACAAACCTGCTTATCACATGCAATTTGCACTACATATGCTACTTGTTCCTGCACAGGGCGGCCCTTTCTCTTGGCCCTGAAACTTAAATTTCTGGTTTAAGATTAGGTTCTTGTTTTGGCCTTGAAGCGAGACATGGTCACGCTCTGGAAAACCCATGTTTGCCATCAGCGCACCGCTGTCCTGGTGTGGGCATACGGTCTTCTCGGGGAACATCACACTTCTATTTTTGCCTGGTCTGGTTATTCTCAGTCCTCTCCTCCAAGAATTACTGAACTGGTTGGCCAATTTTAGTCAAATCTGCTGAAGCAATGGAGATCTCAAGGGATTCTGCATTCCTTCAAAACCTGGTCTGACACTTTTTTATACTGTACAACTACATAATGTTAGAGAAATACCTCTTCAGAGCTACGCTAAACAGGCCAAGTTAGAAAAAAAATACAAAATGCATTCTCTTTCATAAAAAATCTTTTCCAACTGCTGAAAACCTAGTCTTGTATTTAGAGAGCTCTGCTCACTACGCACCCTGAAGGCTGACTTCCCACGCACAGTCATTTCGTAATCATACCAATCTTAAGCCCTTCACCAACCTTCCTTTTTTGGCTCTTTTTCAGTTCCTTTTTCATGATGGCTTTCCACCAGAGACGCTGGCTCACGGTATTCTGCCTTAATATTGTCTCCATTTTCGCGCTTTACGGCCGGCTCCTCAAGCTCACAGTCGTCACACTCTTTTCCTGGGTCTTTGGATCCCAAGTTTGTAGTTAACTTGCCTAGACTGTAAAATTTCGACAGAATACTAGGCTGCTTGCAGGAGGATTTTAGCCAGTTTAATCTAAGCCGCGACTTTTTCTGCGTTGGCTTCGCGCTCTCGTTTTCACTGGAACACTTGGCGATGGCATCGCTTGGATTTTCAAGCTTTTCTCCCGTTGCTTTCCTCTTCGACCTGGTTTGTCTTTGATTTTCTTCTGCTGCAATCTGCTCCTTTGACACTTTGGATTTTTTCTTTGCATTGCCACCCTCGGCATCGCTTTTTCTTTTCCCGTTTCCTTTGAGTAGCTTGTCCTCAGCTATCGCTCCGACGTGGTTACTCGGTACGTTCTCCTCCTCCTCGGCAGCGCTGGCAGTTCCATTGCTCTCAGGATTGTGATTAAGTTTTTCCTCCAGCTTCGCTGCAGGCTCTTCAACGGGCATTTTGTTCAATTCTTCCTTCTTCAGTAGCTGACATGTTTCCTGAATGTTACCCAGGATACACTGCAGAACCTCCTGGGCGTCATGCTGCAAGTAGCCTTCGTACATAGGGTTGAGCTCCCTGTTAAAAGCAAAAGTGCACACCAAAGCTGCTCTTTACTACGTAGCTAACAGGATTTGAGATTTAAATTAGGGAAGCTTAGCTGTGAAAGGAGGGGAAGACCCACTCCAGCAGGATCTTCCTAGAGAGAAGTCCTCTCTGTCACAGACAGCCGTGAAAGGGTAGTAACAGCCTTTGCAGAAGGGTGTTTAAACACACATTCAACTGCAACCCAGCCGTGATCCTTCTCAGGTCCATGAGAACCCTTCACACACGTGAGGCTAAGTACTGGTTTAAACCCACATGTGGGTTTAAATTATATTCTCAACAAATCAAAGCATACTTCTAGACTTACGATATCACAAAGGTAAGAATCAGCACAAACCTTCCCTTTGAAATGGAGAAAAACTTACTTAAGACCACCTCATCTACCTTCCGCAAGTCTCTAACGCGGTGCTGTACAGTGAAACGGCCTTACAGCTTCCGGTGAAAACCCTGGCATATGTCTGAGACTATTTGTACCTCAGGGTGTTCAGTAGCCTCCGTGGCTGCGTAGCGAGTTCATCGGTGTATTTTTCTGGATTCAAGAGAAAGCTGGCTTGAAGCTGCTCAACTGAGAGGATCAGCGAGTGCAAACTGCAGATGAGCTCGTAGCTTGCCAGTGGGTCTTCTTTGCAACTTCCCTGCAGTAACAAATTAACAATAAAAATACTCATAGTTTTGTCTGTAGCAACAAGTTGAACTTTTTCTCTCCTGCCCTTGCTTAGTCTTCTGACATTTGACAGGGTTTTTTTGTCTGCTATGGAAAACAGGTGAGTTTCAGCCAATAAATTGCTCTTTTGCCAGCAGAAATGTCAAGTCAGAATAACCATTATGTTAAAAACCCAAACCATCTTTGCCCAAAAGCTCCAGTTTCCATCCACTCAGAGTACTGTACCCTAACTGTCTTGTCAGACACATGGCGAGGTATCCCCTCCAGTTTTCCCTGTCAAACTCGAGCTTACAAGTTTACGTGCACTCTGGACGCTCGAGTTTGAGCACAAACGCAAAACTCCTGAAACAGCACGGCAGCGAACGCCGCTGCAAACGTCTTACGCACAGGAGCATCGGTTAAATTGTCGTTATGCTCCTGGCATGCAGCCCCCTTGCAAAGTTACAAGCAAAGGAACATGCAGTGAGATACGTTACCTTTTCTGCTTTCTGCTCTCCTTCATCCCTCAAAGATTCTTTCTTCTTCGAAATGATATTATATAAGTGTTTTACTCCAGTTTTAAAACCAGGACAGAAGTACAATACCTGAAAGCAACAGTTTAAAACAAGAGAATAACGGGGAAGGTGAGAAGTTACTCAACGTACACATCCACATTTAGGATCGCACCAGCTCTGCGTCTCCCCAGGCAGGCACAGAGCACACGGAGATGCAGGATCATTCGCAGCAGGGAGGTGCCCAGGGTACATACACTGAAAAACTGCCCAATCCAGACAACCCACGGTGCACGCATTTCCTGCGCTATCATCTCGTTTCCCCCTCTGTAATTAGACCCCCTTCACACTGCACCCCAGCACCTAGGTAACATCCCTTCCAACCCTAACCATTCTATGATTCTATCATTCTATCAAACTACGAGTCTCGTCCACTTGTGCCTGGCCAAAGAAAATCATCTTGTCGCGGCCCCCTGGCATGATCTCACCTGAAGGACGCTGTTCAGGTAACACGTGTTACCCAGATTGTTCAAGCCCACAAACGGCAACATGTTGTCTTTTTTCTCACAGCTGACGAGGGCGGGAGGCTGTGCTGCAGGAACCACCTGATCGCTGTGGAAGGGAGAAAACAGCCTGTGAGAACGGCTCCTGCTGGTGCGCACGCACCGCACTCCAACTGAAACCCAGACTGCTCAACGCGTCTCTTCAGCATCCTACTCAAGAATAGGCAGGTTTGCAAGCAGCGGGCAAAGCTATTGTTGGTTCCAATATAGAGTTTTCAGAAAAATACCAGGAGACAGACTAAAGGAACCAAACCAGTTCTCTTTACGCTCTTATGTTCTGTGTTCATTCCTCAGGCAGCGCTAAGAAAAACATGTCTAGCACGTATTTGCTGTTACTGACCCCTGCCCCAGGTTCACATCACTTCATTTCTGGAAGCAAACTAAAAGGATAAAAAACAGGAAAAAATTTAAAATAAGGAACCAACGAGCCTGGTACCTGACGTGCAGTGTTAACGCACCGTGCTGACACAACGGAGTCAAATTTCAGAGCCTCCCAACACGTTTGTAATTGACCATGATTAAGCAATTTTGCTTTTTCCCATTTAAATTTCCTCCCTGGCTGCCACAAAACGAGTTGCATGATTTGTTCAGGGCTTGAAACACCTGAAGGAACGACTGCAAGCGGCATAATCGACTCTTCTACTTGCAGCAGAAATAACCTTACAACTTCAATTAAAACTCACTTTGGGAAAGCTTACATTTTAATACGCTTTAGATAACTGAACGTGAGAATAACTACCTTATATTAACCTCAAATAAGGGAACTTCAAGCCATTTCAAAGTCTATGCCAACAAATCATCCACAGTGTGGCAAGCTTGTTTTCTGGAGCGAGTTATAGAAATTCGCTGCAGCGAGCACCTGGTTCAGCTTAGCGGGAGGGTTTAGTTAGTGCACCTCCGAGCGCGTACTTAGGCGAGCAAATACAACCGAGACGAGCGGCTGGGGCAGCGCCGTTCACCCACCGCAGAACCGAGCTGGGGACCGGCCGCCCCAAAACGGCCAGAAACGCTCACTCGGAGCGAAACGCTTACGCACATCTCAGAGCCTCTGAACTCCGGACTCTTTTGCTCATTTTCCTGGGACTCGGAAAAATCCAGTGCTCTTTTCGCTTCCTTTTTTTGGAAGAGCTTCAGCGAGAGCCTGTTCTTCTTCGAGGGGCTCCCTCTCGCAGGCCCGGTGCTGCTGTCACTCGGCAAGACCCCGGGCATCTTTCCTGGCGGGC